TGGGAACAAAAGCAATTAGCAAAGGCAATGGAAAGCAGGTCAGTGAACTCGCCCAATGATTATTCTTTCATATAATGTTAGAGGGTTGGGGAAAAGGGAAAAAAGGAGGGAACTAAAAGAATTAGTGATGAAGGAAAAAATAGATTTTCTTGCAATACAGGAATCCAAATTAGTAACAGTGGATAGAAGATTGTGCCAGGCTCTATGGAGTCATGATGAATTTGAATGGGTGTTCAAACCATCAAATGGTCTTTCAAGAGGCTTAATTTGTGTATGGAACTTGGGAGTCTTCAAAAAAGATAAAGTGTATGAAGGGGAAAACTATATAGGTGTTTATAGGTTCTAGGGAAAAGACGCTGTGCCTGTTCACATTATAAATGTGTATTCTCCTTGCAACATTACTAGCAAAAAGGCTCTGTGGCAAGAGTTAAAATCGCTAGTGTTAGGCACTAAAGGCAATTGGTGTTTAGTAGGCGATTTTAATGCAGTCAAGAGTAGACAAGAAAGAGCAGGGGGCAAAGGATCCACAACAAAAATGAGAGAATTTGAGGATTTTATCAGAGACTCGAATCTTGTTGATTTGCCTTTGTGTGGTAGAAGATATACTTGGTATCAAGTAAATGGGGCATCCATGAGCAAGATTGATCGATTCTTATTATCAGAGGATTGGCTGTTGAATTGGAGTGATTGCAAACGGTGGGGACTAGGGCGCTCCATATCAGATCATTATCCTATCATTCTGAAGAACATCTTAGTGGATTGGGGACCAAGGCTGTTCAAATGGTTTGATGCATGGCTGGACACACCAGGTTTGAGGGATGAAATCAAAAAGGTATGGAACTCAACTAAGGTATCTAGATGGAAGGGATACTGTTTGAAGGAAAAATTCAAAGCTGTCAAGAGGTTTCTTAAAGCTTGGAGTATGAATTTCAAGGAAGAAGTAGATAGGAACATTATAGAATATAAAGCAGCCATTGCTAGCTTGGATGCTAAGGGAGAACAGAATAACTTGTCAACTAAAGAATGTGTAGAAAGACAGAGGAACTTTGTAGATTTATGGAAATGTTTAAAAACAAAAGAAGGCATGTTGAAACAGAAATCTAGGAAAATGTGGATCAAGAATGGAGATGCCAATACATGTTATTTCCATAGATGTGTCAAAAGCAGAATTAGGAAGAAGGAGATATGTTGTTTGCATATGGATGGACAATTGGTGGATGATGTACAAATATTAAGACAGAAGATTGTAGAGCACTACACAAGTTTTTTCAAGGATGAGGAGTGGAAAAGACCAACATTGGACAGCATAGCTTTTAACAGGCTCCCCCCAGATTCTGCTGCCATGTTAGCTGACAATTTTACCGAAGAAGAAGTAAAGAAGGCAGTTTGGGATTGCGGAGTTACAAAGGCACCAAGCCCAGATGGATTTAATTTTCAATTCATAAGAGAAATGTGGGAGGTGTTGAAGGAAGATATCATGGGCTTCATACAAGAATTTCATGAGAATGGCAAGTTAGTTAGAGGATTGAATGAATCTTTCATTGTACTCATCCCTAAGAAGGAAAATCCATTAGAGTTGGAGGATTTCAGACCCATTTCCCTGATTGGTGCTATGTATAAAATCCTAACTAAGATACTCACAAACAGATTAAGTCGAGTTATGCAGGAAATCATTGGGGAACAACAAACAGCTTTTGTGAAAGGTAGACAGCTCATGGATGGTGTAGTGGTTGCAAATGAGGTTATACATGAAGTACGCAGGAAAAGAAAGAGTAGCTTTGTATTCAAGATTGATTTTGAGAAGGCTTTTGACAAAGTCAGTTGGAAATTCCTGGATTACATGCTAGAACGTATGGGATTTGACTCCAAGTGGCGAGGTTGGATTCAAGAATGTCTAAGCACCAGCAGAGTTTCAATTTTGGTTAATGGCAGTACTACAAATCAATTCTCAGTCAGTCAAGGGTTGAGGCAAGGTGATCCGCTGTCATTGTTCTTATTCTTGATAATTGCTGAAGGCTTGAATGGAATAATTGCGTCAACCATTTCAAAAAAGTTGTTTGCTGGTGTATCAGTAGGTTCTGATCAGTTGAACATTTCCCACTTGCAATTTGCACATGACACGATTCTATTCGGATATGCTACAGAGGAAAATATATAGGCTATAAAGTGTATCACAAGAATTTTTGAGCTTGTTTCTGGACTTAAGATCAACCATGTGAAAAGCCAGTTGATGAGAGTGCATGTGGATGAAGAATGGCTATCAAGAGCTGCTGCAATTTTAAATTGTAAGCTGGGAGTTATGCCTTTCAAGTATTTAGGGGTCCCTATTGGGGACAACCCAAGAAGATTGAAAATCTGGCAACCGCTGGTGGAAAATTTCAAGAAGAAGTTGTCACAATGAAAGGGGAGATTCGTATCCATGGGAGGCCGAATTACTCTGATAAATGCTATGTTGTCAAGCCTACCAGTATTTTTGATGAGTATGTTTCTCATTCCAAAAGGAGTGATTAAAAAATTAGACTCCATTAGGAGAGCTTTTTTATGGGGAGGGAATGATGAGAAAAGAGTGATTAATTGGGTAGGGTGGGAAAATGTGTGCAAAAGCAAAGAGGAAGGGCGTCTTAGAGTGAAAAATCTTAGAACTTTTAATTTAGCCTTAATGGGGAAATGGTGGGGAAGGTTAGCTAAGGGGGAGGGTGGTTTGTGGCACAAGGTTTTAAAGGCTAAGTATGGGAGAGAGGGCGTAAATTGGACGAGATGGATGAAAGAGAACAGTGAGTTAGGATCTCTATGGTGGAGAGATGTATGTAGGCTAAATGAGATAAGGGGGAGTAACATAGGATGGCTAGAGAGAGGTTTTGAGTTGGATGTGGGGGAAGGTAAGGAGATGCTGTTTTGGAAGGAGAATTGGGTGGGGATTGGTGAGTTGGCCAACTTGTTCCCTAGATTATTTTTATTATCTACAGGTAAAGAAAATGTAATTAGTCAAATGGGCAAATGGAAGAATAGAGAGTGGACTTGGAATTTGAAGTGGAGGCATGCTCTCCGGGAAGAGGAAACTATCCAATTACAGAATATGATTAGTAGGTTGAACACCAAATCACTTACCAAGGGAAGAAGGGACGTATGGCATTGGAAACATGATCAAAATGGCATCTACAGTGCAAGTTCAGGTTACCAGACACTATCAAGATCCTTCTCATCCACAAGGGGGGTAATTTTCAACAAGATTTGGAACCCCCACATACCCACAAAGGTCAGTGCATTCAGTTGGCTAGTCACACAAGACAGAATTCCATCTAAAGTTAATTTATGGATGAGGGGTGTATTGAGAGATGTTAGTATGATTATGTGTAAAATGTGTGAGGAGGGTGATGAATCAACAAGGCACCTATTTCTACACTGCCATATAGCTAATATATTGTGGGGAAGATGCTGTTGTTGGTGGGGTGTGGAAGGTGTTCTTGCCGAATCCTGTTCAAAGGCTTTTGTTCAACATGAAGGCTGGTTCAAAGATAAAAGGTTAAGGGAGGGATGGGAGGTGATTTGGTTTGCAGTCATATGGACAATTTGGTTAGCTCGTAATGGAAAAATCTTCAACAATGAGACAGTGGATACAGACCAACTATTTCAATTGATTCAAGCCAGATCATTCATATGGCTCAAGGAGAGAAAAAGAGGACACAAATTTTCCCTCTCAGACTGGTTGCAAGGTCCTAGATCGAGCATGAGGAATGGTTAGCAAATTTTCTAAATTGTGTGTTTATGTATGATTTAAGAAGAAATCAGTCCAAAGTCTTGGCATCTTTTTGGATTTGAGGAAGGGTTGCTGGTTGTATGTTTTCCAGCTGGGATAGGATGCAAAACCCTGTGGTGTGTTTTTGAAGGACTAGATGTGCTATTCTACCATTGAAAAAATTGCAAAGGAGGACAGAAACCAGACACGGGCGTGGTGTCGACACATAAGCTTGGTGTCGACACCATACAGTAAGCATCCAAAATTAGCAAGGACTGTTCAGCTCTCATTAATTTATGTCTTTCAAGTTGGAATGTTTATGGGTTTGGAGTACCCCTTGTATTCCACTTTTTAATAGATATCACTTTTTGCTGTTCAAATAAAAAAAAAAAGAGACTGACCATTTGTAATCCCCTGCTTTGAAAGCTAGTGATTCATATTGTTTCTCTTTAGTCATTTGAAGTACTTGAAACAGCTGTGAGAATGATTGTACCTTCAACATATAGTGTGGCGGTGGTTTGCCTCTCACCAAAACAGTAAATCCTGTTCATATCAAATAACAAATTCAAGCTTAACTTCAGACTATAATTACCAACTAAATCAGATTAGTTTCATAAAATAGGAAATGGAGAAAAAATCCATCTATGCTTGAACGTCTATACCAATTTTTATTTTAACTATAATGGCTGTAAAGAGATTTTTTTTTTATTTCCCCACAATAGGGCAATAACCATACACTCTGAAGGTGAGGAGATGTGTGTAATTGCCTTCACAATTTCAAAGAACAAAAATTGCAGAATATATCGAATACAAGTGAATCTGCAAAGATGATACTTTGAATCATAGATAGAGAAAAAAAAATAAAAATAAAAAGAACTACGACTCAGAGTTGGAAGAATCTCTGCGGTCTACCATTACAATCGCCCTGGAGCTTTATGAAACTTAACAACTGAAACAGAGTAAAATACCGTGGTTTCTTCTCATTAGAAAACTGTATATATATACAAAAAATACAATGCTAAATGACATAATTACCCCAATACATAAATATATTCTATCATCCCCCCTCACTTTGAGCGATATGAGAAAGAATGCTCAAATTGGTACGTAATGAACTAAATTGCTGAATTGGAAGTGCTTTGGTCAAGATGTCAGCCCATTGATGACAAGTAGGAACATGGTGCAACTGAACAAGTTGAGAAGCAACCTTTTCCCACACAAAATGCAAGTCAATCTCAATATGATTGGTCCGGTGATGCTGAACAGGATTGGAGGACATATGTAAAGCACTAATATTATCACAATAAACAGTTGTAGGAGAGGAAAGGAAAAGTGACAACTCAGATAGAAGTTGGTGAACCCAAGTGGCTTTCGCCACTGCATTAGCAAGAGCACAGTATTCTGCCTCAGCACTAGAATGAGAAACTGTAGATTGCTTCTTGGAAGACCAAGAAATTAGAGAACTACCAAGAAACAAACAAAATCCATAAGTGGACCGACGAGTGTCCAAACACTCGGCCCAGTCAACGTCAGTAAAAACATGTAGAGAAAAGTTCTGAGTTTTGCGAAGTTGAAGACCATAGTGCAAAGTTCCTTTAAGATACCGAAGGATTCTCTTGGCAGCCTAGAAGTGAAGAACAATAGGAGCATGCATATATTGACACACTTGTTGAACAGCAAAGGCAATATCCCAGCGAGTAAAAGTAGCATATTGCAGTGCACCCACAATACTACGATAACCAGAAAGATTAAAATATGGCAGACTATCAGTAGCAGCTAACTTCTTTTTAGAATCAAGAGGAGTGGCTACAACTTGACAATCCTTTATACCAGCTCTCTCAAGTAGCTCAAGAATATATTTGGATTGATTGAGAAACATACCTTCAGAATTATGAGTAATTGAAATACCAAGAAAATAATTCAAGGATCCCAAATCCGTCATTAAAAACTCCTTCAAAAGAGAGAGAAGCGAAGACAACAAAGATGAATTTGAGGCTGTTAAAATAATATCATCAACATATAATAATAAGACAGCTAGAGAGCCATGTGTTCTGTAACTAAACATAGAGGAGTCAATCCGAGCTTGAAGAAAACCACAAGACTTCAAGAAAGAAGCAAAACATGAAACCAAGCTCGTGGAGCCTATTTTAGACTATAGAGAGCTTTCCGCAACCGACAAACATAATCAGGTCGAGAAGAATCAATAAATCTTGGAGGTTGATGCATATACGTAGGCTATGTCAATTCTCCATTTAAAAAGGCATTCTTGACATCTAATTGATGAATTGGCCAAGAACAAGAAATTGCAAGTGTTAAGATAGTGCGAATAGTTACCGGTTTCACCACGGGACTAAAGGTATCATCATAATCAATACTAGGTTGCTGAGTATAACCTTGAGCAACTAAACGTGCTTTGTATCTCTCGATGGTGCCATCAGATTTCTATTTGATCCTGTAAACCCACTTGGAACCAACAAGATTAGTATTAGAAGGACAAGGAACCAATTCCCATGTATCATTACTCAAGAGAGTAGAATATTCTTTAACCATGGCTGTACACCATTCAAGAGAACAAACAGCATGAGAGAAAGACTTTGGCTCTTGAATAGGAACAGCAATGGACAACAAAGAAGGTAAAGTATGCACTCGACGAGTACCATCTTGAGACCTTGTTACCATAGGATGTCGACGAACTGCAGGAGAAGATTCCTTGACAAGAAAAGGTGACAAAGCACTACTGGAGCATGATGGAACAACAAGATTTTCAACAGAAGAACCACTGGATGACACCAGCACCAGAACAGTAGATGCGGAAGCTGCAGAAGCAGATGCAGAACTGGTACACGGCAAAGGAGGCTACAAAATGCATGAAGCAGATGGCATGGGAGACCACGAGGAAGACAGCTAGACTGGTGAAGAAGAGGAATCACGAATGGTTTGTCCAGAAGATGGCATGGACGAATTGGACAAGGTATTTTGGGTATTTTAGGTATTTTGGGTAAAGGTGGGTAAAGTAGTGTCCATGAGGTCAAAGGGGGAACGAAAGGCAAAGGTATGTGTGTGGGAAGTTGGTGGAGGAGCAGTAAGAGGTGTGTAAGGAAAATATGTCTCATCAAAGGTGACATGACGAGATATAATAATTTGATGGGTGAGAGGATTTAGGCAACGGTATCCTTTATGGTATTGAGAATACCCCAAAAAAATACAAAGTGTAGAGCGTGGAGCCAGCTTATTTGGGCAGTTGCAGATAAGTTTGGGTAACAGGCACACCCAAAAACTCTTAAATGATCATAAGATGGTGCTTGACCGAACATCACATAACAACTGTGCATGTCATAGAAGAAGAGCAAACAACTAAAGAATTTAACATTACCAAAATTCTTCATTGAAAAATGCTTAAGTTGTAGAACTCATTGGATTCCCTCTCTCTTGGTTCTCAATTCTTCTCTCTATTAGCATTCATCATTCTAATTCCTTTCCTAATTCCAATTGCTTGATCTCCACATTTTTATTTTTGACAGCCCCAAGATTCATATTAATTGCAGAAAGTGGATGAGAACTAATTGATGATACTACTTTAAATTTAAACTCTTTACTACTACAACTATCAATGGAATATAATGAAAATTTCAAATATATTTCTTAAGTTTCAAGTATTTTATATGGATTGGGGATGTTAAAAGTTAAGAGGCCAATCAGAGGAAGTTTAGCCATTGATCTCTTTAGCAATGAAATCCAAGATTACAGTTGACAAAATCAAAAGAAGAAGCATATTAATCATGTACTAAAAAACTTAAATGAATACCAGAGTACAATTATATTGTGACAAAACTCAGAAGAGGGTAAATCAACATACCTTGGCAACAAAGCTTGAAAAAGAAGACATGATACAATATATGTA